CAGGGATATTGCTAGTCAACTGGACATTTCCCATTTGACGTTTGCGGATGATACTCTAGTGCTTTGTGATGCGGACGCGTCCCAGTTGAGATATTTGAGATGCGTTTTGATTTGGTTTCAAGTTGTTTCTGGTCTTAAGGTGAATGTTGGCAAGAGCCTTCTTGTGCCTAGTGGGGATGTCCCTGAGATTGAGATGTTAGCTCAGATCCTGGGATGTTGCATTGGCTCTTTTCCCATTTCTTACTTAGGATTGCCTTTATGAGCCCCTTCGAGATGTGTGGGGAGCTGGGATCCGGTTGTGGATAGATTCGAGAGGAGGTTGGCGGGTTAGAAAAAGCAGTACCTTTCCAAGGGGAGTCGAGTTACTCTGATTAAGAGCACCCTTTCTAGCCTTCTTACTTATTTCATCTCTCTATTTCAGATTCCCTCTTCAATGGCGGAGAGAATTGAGAGATTGCAGTGCAACTTTCTTTTTTTTGGGGGGGGGGGGGGGGAGGGGAGGAGTTCAAGTATCATCTGGTTCGGTGGGATCATGTGTGCTGTCCAATTCGGTGTGGAGGCTTAGGGTTAAGGAGGTTGTTGCCTTTCAATAAGGCTCTCCTTGGTAAATGGCTCTGGAGGTTTGGAATTGAAAGGCATTGGCTTTGGAGGAGAGTTATCGCGAGTAAGTTTGGGGAAAGCAGTGGTGGGTGGTGCTTTCTTGTGTTGCGTGGTCCAAGGGGGTTGGGGGTTTGGACTTATATTCGGAGGGGTTGGGATGATTTCTGCAAGCATGTTCGTTTTCGGATCAAGGATGGTAGGAGGATCAGTTTTTGGAAGGATCTTTGGTGTGGGGAGCTTCCTCTTGCTCTCACTTTCCCACGGCATTATAGGATTGCTTCTCACCGACAGGCCATGGTGGTTGACTGTTATCACCTTGATAACGGGAGACTGACTTGGGATGTTCAGTTCAGGAGGCACTTTTAGGATTGGGAGATCGAGGATATTTCTCGTTTTTTGGAGCTTCTGTATAGCCAGGTGATCACTTTTGGGGAGTCGGATGGTTGGTTCTGGGTTCCTAACTCGCAGGGTCATTTCAAGGTTAGGTCCTTTTTCGGGTGCCTTTCGATTGTTCCCAAAGACCCTTTCCCCTGGAAGTCTATTTGGTGTTCTAAGGCTCCCCTCAAGGTCGCCTTTTTATCTTGGACTTCCGTCCTAGGTAAGATTTTAACTCAAGATAATTTGAGAAGGAGAAATCAGGTGGTGGTCAATCATAGTTATATGTGCTTGTGTGATGAGGAGACAGTTAATGACTTCCTTTTACATTGCAGCATGGCCAGAGACTGCTGGGATTTGATGCTTGGATTATTTGGGGTCCATTGGGCTATGCCTTGTTCCTCTAGAGGGTTGATTGAGGCTTGGAGAGGCGTCTCTGTTGGGGCTTTCATTCAGGATGCTTGGAGGGCTACGCCTCTTTGTATTTGGTGGTGTATTTGGCTAGAGAGAAATAGGAGATATTTTGATGGAAAAAAGAAGTCTGGCTCTATGCTTAAGTTCTCTATTATTTCTACTCTTTTTTTTTTGGGTTTCAGGGAGAGATTATAGATCTACGGAAGAGATTATTGTTTTTTTGGCCTCTTTGAAGGTCAAAGGCACCCTTTGGCCCCTTTGTTTCTTTGGGCTCCGCTCCCCTTTTTAGCGTTTTTAATAAAATCTTACTTATCAAAAAAAAAAAAGATTACACCCTTTTTGAGACCTCTGACACGTGCTGGACAGATGAGTCTCAGATGCCTATTGCCACCTTAAGCCCCACCCCGACCACAAACACACGCTTCCGTAAACACGACTTTCCTACTACTACCATCTGAGTAGCACCCGTATCACCCAATCAGGATACCCCACATTACGGCATAAATATTGCCCTAATTGACATCACTCAACTAATCTCTCCCTCCTCGCACGCAGGAGAGACAGAAAAGAGATGGAGTGACAGAATTGTCCCTCACATGATTATGGATTGATGATGACGACTATGATGATGCTGAGGCTTCCTCAATCTGACATACACAGAAAGTGTACCGAAAAAAGAAAAAGAAAATTATAAAAATAAAATAAAAATAAAAATAAAAAAGAAGAAGAAGAAAAAGAGAGACAGAGACAGAGAGAGAAGAATTGATAGGTCATTGAATACAAGGGTACAACCAATTGTGAGGGCACATCCAAGTCTGGCCGGCCTGTGGTCAAGTGAAGAAGGAAAAAGAAATATTAATAGTGGTTTTGGAAAGTTCATAGTAAATGCTTTTTGCCGAATGCCTTTAACGTTAATTAATTTTTGTTAGTTAACAAGTTCAATTTTTTTACCAAAGCATTAATGCAACCAATGGCCACATTTAAAATTGCTGAATCCTCCCAAAATTTTCTCCAATTAGTTTATGTTTCTTGGTTTGGAAAATTAAAAGAAAAGGAAGAGGTCATACTTTTCCATCCAAACATCCAATTTTGCCACCAGTCAGGCAACTTTGTTTCTCTTTTCTAAATTATTTAATTCTAGTAGTTGACTAGTCTAAAACAACAAATACTTAAAGCCATGACAACCCATAATTTGCTTGTTCCACTTGATTCTGAGAGGGATGGAATTGTAAAAGAGTAATGCGACGGAAGTAGAATTCTCAGTAGGTGATTTGCTCCTTAAGTTGCTTACCTTTCAAATAGGCTCCATAGCTTTTAAAAAAGTAAAAATAAAAATAAATCAAATGGCCTCAATTTTTACTTTCTAATGAACTGGACTCTTTGGGAAGCAATGTATAGGAATGTAAGTTTCTCCTTTAAAGGAAGGAATTGAAATAGAGAAAATAAAGAAAAAGGATATTTTAGCTCCAAAGGTTCATATAGGTTGTGAAAGGGCATATTTTTTCTTGTTAATATTGTACAAAGCCCAAAATTAAGAGGCAAAATTCTTCCTGATCTAGACAGGTGAGATGCCTTGGCCTACCTAATGCCAAGAATAAGAACAAGAAAAAGGCAAGTGCAAGAGCAAATGGGACCTTAAGTAATCATGTATTGTATAATTTCAGTCTTCATTTTACGTTTCGATTGCTTAATCTACTTCTTGGTAATAGTTCTATTTTGAAGCACAGGGTCATAGATATTTATGAAATTTGTTCCATAGGCTAGAGGTTTGAATCATATGTCAATATGTCACTAAATGCTAGATATTAGTGACATAACAAATGGATTATACCACCTCTTTCCTGTGATCTTCATAATGCTCGAAATGGATAAAAGAGTTCAAATAATTTGACAACCATGATCTCAGTTGAGTAGACTCTACAACTTTGCTTCAAGATGTGGTCTCCTCAATGAGTAGGAAATTCCCATTCAAATTCCAATATTTCCAAAGAAGATCAGGTATGATTAGGCTAAGATTGCTCCTTGATTCTCACTATGAAGAATTTGTCTTAATTAGCATGAGACGATTGCACAAAATAGACAAATAAAAAAAAGCACCGCCTTCCAAGTTTGAAGGACGGGTGGGTATTGTTAGAAAATTTAAATATTTAAGTTACACCCTTTCTAATAGCTTAACCTTTGGGGTAAATGGTGGTTAACATGGTATCAGAGTAAGCTAGGTTTTGAGTTCAAAGTACCGTCACCTTGTTAATTAAAATAAAAAACATGTTGGACCAAAAGAATGCCACACGTGAGGAAAATGTGTGGTGATTAATAGGTAGAACATTGTGCGAAAAAACATCTTTCAATAAGTGTTTTAGAGCCCAACTTCTAAAAATTAAGTTCACATATTAAAGTTCCATGCGTTTCTCACATTAAACCACCCATATCATTGCTTTGCCTTGACATAAAACCACATTATTTTTCATAGGAAAATTAGAAATTTTCTATACCTGGTAAAAGATTCGTGACATTCGTCTATGATTTACTTCTACCAATTTCAAAATCCAAAGGCTAGAAATGGGAATCTATCAAAATCATTATTTTAAAAAATATATATAGGTGACGTATGACTTAATTAAGACTATTAATGACTTAATAAAAAAGCATACAAGTTTTTTCGTGAAGCAAATAGGTTCTAATTACACCGAGGCGGTTAAGTTTGATAATATTATAGCATAGGTGAAACATTCTCATAATCCTTTCCTTGCCTTGATTCCAATCAAATGGGGTGTTTCTCTTTCAATTCTTTCATATACCAAGTTATACATTTTCTTATATCCATTTTTTAATATATTTTCTTGTTACCTCATTGACACTCACCTATTGTTTCAAGAAGGGCTTTTTTAAACATGCATATATAAATATATATTATAGGTACATCTACTAGTCAACGTTATATATATGTGCATACCACCTAAGCTTTCTTTATCTTATTATATCACTATAGGTGATACTCCAACTTTCTTACTCCTCTTAGCCTCTAGAATAACATGAAATTCATGTGAGGAATGTTATTACCCTAGAGAAAGCATTCATGGAAGATTTCCACCTAAAGAGCGGTCATTTAAAGCACTTTTGTACTTCTTTATGTTAGATTTTGTGAATGAAAATTGTTTCATTAGTCATCAACTGATGCCTTGTACTGAACATGTGTGATCACTGGGTGGTTGTGGGATGAAAAGATGCAACTCAAAATCAATAGACATAACCTATTCAATATGAACCATTGCAATCTATTGCAGTGGGTGTGTCTAGTGAAGATCAGACACATATAAATGGTTGTGTCCAGTGATGAAAAGACACATATAAATGGTTGTATCCAGTGATGAAGAAACATACCCAATCCAAAAAGGCACTTCTATTTCTATACATACCTCCTTCGGTTGCCATTTGCAATTCGTTCAAGTCTTTGATTTATTCTCTCCCTCTCTAGACTTAAACCTAACCCAAGACCATAATATAATTTCACTGAGTCATTTTAAAATTGGTCCGAGCAATTTAATTTGAGTTGGACCGATTTCATCATTTTTATAATATAGATGCATTTTTTGAGTCAAAGAAAGTATTACACAGAGGAGGTTCGCCGTATCCACGAGTTTGTAGTGATGCTACTGGTGAATGTAGACCGTTATATCCTGGGAGACAAATGCCACAGAGTCTTTCAGCACTATGCGGGACGTAAATTGTCTTAAGGACATAGTATCTAATACTAGCCTCGGTCTCGGTTATTTATTTATTTATTATTATTTTATTGCTTTAATTTGCATGTTTAATTAAATATCAAGTTGCATATTTAATTAATTATTTTTTAGCAAATTATTAATTATCTCATGGCATGCTAGTAACTCAGTATTAGTTATATCTTAAATGTCATTTGAAGCATATTTACCAACAATTTACTAGGCCTTTGCTGTTGTAATGAGAAAAGGCATTTTTATCACTATAGTTGTCACAAATTTGTTGTTAATAAAAAACATGTTTGATGTTTGTTGATATATTATATAAAGTACTTTTCACAATTAAAGTACTTTTTAATTTGTTTGGTAAATATTGTGTAAAGCACTTTATTAACTAATTTTACAATAATGCCTTTGAATGGAGTGTTATTATATTTGTAAAAGTATAATTTTTTAAAAGAAGGAATTATTTTTAGAAAAAATAAAAATGAATAAAATTGTCCCGTGAAAAACAGCTACCTACGATATAACAACTCTTGTCATAGAGATTTTAACTTTATTCGAAATCTCTACTATAAATAAAAAAGAAAGAAAAAGTGCTTAATTTTTTCAAAATAAATGCGTTTCCAAGTGGGTTCAACAGCCATGCATCCCAACCGCGCCATTAAAATTATGGTGTTCTTACCCGAAAGAATTGAAAACACCAACACAAAGTAAGTGGGTGAAAGCATTTAAAGTTATTAGCTTTTATATAATTTTCTTAAAGGAACACTTTTTTTTTTTAAATCTCTATTGAACGAGAGAGACTATAAGAGGAGGTTAAAGGACTTGTAATTTCAGAGGGCATGTCAACATGAGAGACAAAATACCATTCTGGGATCACATTTACAATACAATACAGAGATAACAAACTCTATAAACATAATAATAATACATTAGAGGGAAAAAAAGGCAGAGGCTTTACCTTGAGAGATTATGCGGTCAGGTACTGCAGTGCTCCTTAAGAAAATGAAAGTACATACGCTGTCACACACTAATAGTAGTCACTGGAACTTAGACGACGACCAAGTCCTGTCTCTTCTTTAGCGGCGGCGGCCGTGACGGCGGCGGCAGCTTTTGTGGTGATTGAAAAGCGATAGAAAGGTAAAGAACCAGTTTTCTCGAGAGCTCCGCTTGCTGGACCGTCAAAACTCGTAATCAGTTTTCTCGAGAGCTCCGCTTCCTTTTTTTTTTTTTGCCCTTTCTCGTCTTTTCTTTCCTAGGGTCTGGTTAGACGGAAAATACTAATGGAAAGTTAAAGTGAAAATGAAAATGAGAGTGAAAGATAGGAAAAAGAAATCGAGTTCCATCGTCCATTTGGTTAGCTAAGATTTTTTTTCATGAAAATTAGAAGAAAATATTATTTTGTGAGTTTGGAAAGCATTAAAGTGAAAAGAAGGAGATTACAGTTACCAAAATTATCTTTTTAATTATAAGATTATTTTGTACTCTTTTGAGATCTTGCTCTATTTTTTGAATTATGAACAAAATTAAAATTTTAAGTTCAAAATGAACCAATGAATTTGATATTTAATAATTTTATATATGTGATTATGAGTACAAGTTTAATTTATAAAAAATTTTGTTCCAAAAAATATTTAGGAAAAATGATTGAAGTTAATATATATACTTTTAGTCATAAAAAAAAAAAAAAATGTTGAGCCTAAACAAAATACAATGCAATGCTTCAACTAAATTAGTTTGATACATCTAATATATGTAGAATTAAAATTAAATTAGTTTGCTACGTCTAATTACTTAGAATCCTAAAGTCGAGAAAAGTTTATGTATAAAAAAGTACAATTAAATTGTAAATTGTACGCGTAGAGACACTATTAATTTAAGCAGAGTGTTGGGTGAAAAATTAGAATTAGATATATATATCACTCTAAACCATTATTAATTATGGAAAGAAAAAAATAGAATAAAATTTTAATTTTGTATGCACGTGTAAAATTATATACAATCAAAATAGTATTACATTATTATATAAGCAATTTACAATAAACAATAAAAGGGAATTAATCTATTAATGAAGTTTGTAAAGAAATTGACATGGACATAATAGGAAACTAAAATATGAAGGTGTCACTTTTATGGGAAAGTAAAATTTTCCTGTATTTTTTGTAAGAAACATTTTGAGAAAAATTAAACGGTTGCGAGAAAATTACTTGTTAAAAATTTTCTGTTTCACGTTAACTAAACTGCTAACAAATTTAAAAATATTCTGTTTCTTTTCGTATCAACTTCATACTAACCAAACGAGGGTCGTAATGCTAACCCCCGCTTTGACGTCACGCACTTGTTCCTCCTTCGTTCCATTGTTACCACTTCCAATAGACAAACATATTGAAATGACATAATTGCCCCTGGCGCGAAGATCTTTTGACGGTGCAGAGACTCCTCTCCTCTCCGAAGTCAAATGATAAAGGAGACTGAGGAGGCCCGAAGTGGCATGGGCCGGATATGACTTGCAAACGCGACATCTGGTCCGTACAGATGGGTCAGGCCCATAGAAAGACACTGCCATATGGGCCGAACGCGAATTAGCCCATCAAAGATGACCAGAACTCATAGAGGAACGGGCCTAGATCCAGCAGTCCATCGACATTTGTAAATATCTATAAATAGGAGAAGTAATGAGTAGAAGGGGGGAGATATTTTTTGGGGTTGAAATGCAAGAGTTCTAGAGAAAGAAAGAGAGGAGGAATCTCTTGCATCTTCAATTGGCGCCGTCTGTGGGAATCGTGGAAGATTGATTGATCATTGATTAATATCGCGTGGATTCAGACCAATCCGAGGGAACGAAACTCGATCTTTGGGAGTTGGATCCAGATCTGAGCGATTGTGACCTACTCTGGAGGAATTTTAGTTCATGTTGCTTTGGCAGAAGTGGCTTCAGATCTACGCAACAACGAGTTGTTCGATTGTGGCAGGATCTGACGGATTTAGAATTCGGACAATTCAGATCTCGTCAACCATGAGCATAATTCGGAGAATTCGAAACCAGATCTGAAAAATTCCCACTCACGAAGCTCGGATCTACTCACGAACTTGAGATTAATGCCTTTACTCCGTTCAGGAATAATGATAGGTGAAAGCTCCAATCCGATGGAGGCTGTCCAGCAAACAAAGCTTGAGGAGTTGATGAACTTGATCGAGGCTCTCAAAAAAGAGAATGCAGAATTGAAAGCTGGAATGTAACATCAGCAAATACCCGTGGTTTCGCGTCCACTTCCGGCCGGTGAAGGAGGTGTTCAATCTAATATCGCGCATCAAGGCGAGCAGGACGAGAACAATCAGTCAGCTCTCTACCGTGATGAAAGGAGGATGGATGATTTGCCGCCAAATGCTCGTCGAGTTGAGGATTACGAAGGATCGACTCACGTTGATCCGCGACATGAGCAGATCAAACAGAACGAAGCCATGACCTTCGATCCGCATCGGGAAAGGTTCAACCGAGAGGAGGTGATAGAGGTTGATCGCCGCCAAGTTGCGTCGCCTTGGCAAAGAGAGCTCATAGAGGAACGGTCGTTCGATCCGTCCTACCGGCCCTCCATGGCTACAATCACTCATCGCGGTTCAGAGAGCAGAACCGTAGCTCACAGGGCTACCACTGGGCGCCAAAGAGAGAATGAAGCACTCCGATCCGCGGCTCGGACGGTTGATTCACCATTCACTGACGAGATCCTGAATGCCCCGCATCCAAGGAAGTTTGCTATGCCAGTCTTTATTCTGTTTGACGGAACAACCGATTCGATCGATCATGTGTACCATATCCAGTTGAAGATGGCCCTGAATACGGAAAACGACGCTTTAATGTGCAAATGTTTCCCTACAAGCCTAGTTGGACCGGCGCTCAGCTGGTTCAAGAACTTGCCTAGAAGCTCCATTACTAGCTTCCGAGACCTGTGCGATCGGTTCATAAGCCAGTACTATGGGAACAAGCGTCCGCCAAAGGACATCTCAAGCCTATTCACAATGAGACAGCACAAAGATGAACGTCTCCCGGCTTTTCTCACCAGGTTTAATCTCACTAAGAGTATGGTGATCGAATGCCACCCTTCTACAGCGGTTCAAGCCTTCAAGTTAGCCATGACACGTGGCACTCCGTTCCATACCAGTCTGGTAGTGAATACGCCGACGACTATGGATGAACTCAATGAAAGAGCCGACGGCTTTGTGCGCCTAGAAGAAGAGGAGGCAGCCAATGCTCAGACAGCGTCGCTCGTGTCGACTGAGGAAAAGTCCAAGGCAAAGATCAGGCAGAAGCAGGCTCAGCCGCAGCGTCAGACCTCCTGGAAGGTAGAAAAGAGGTCCAGGGAGGAAGAGCTGATCACTCCGCTGAAGGTCACTCTGGTGAGGCTATATCAGAAGAACAAAGATAAGTTTTATCCACCACTGCCAATTAGGCAACCCCTCGAACAGAGGGATCAGACTAAACATTGTGCTTTCCATTCCAATTTCGGTCATCAGACTAATGAATGCAGGAATTTGAGAAGGCAAGTGGAGATGTTGATAGCTAGAGGGGAGTTCGCGAGTTATGTTCAAGGCTCGGCGACAGAGCAGAATCGACCGATGGAACAAGTAAAAATGAGTCATAAACAAAGCTCCCACAGTTCACAACCAGTTCGTATAATCAATGTTATCCACGGTCGACCTGAGCCCAGCGAAGATTCAGATGAGCTACTCCGAGCGCGCCTACGGCAGGCGCAGATGAAGAAAAGGGTCAGTAGTGTGAATACTCTACACCAGCAGATCACATCGATACAGATAAAGTTCGACAGGACAGACCTGCAGCGTGTTCAAATCCCCCATGAAGACCCGTTGGTAGTCAGTTTGACAGTGGCGGACTGCCTGGTGCGCAGAGTTTTGATCAATCCCGGGAACAGTGCGAATGTCATGCCGAGGGACACATTTGATCGGCTAGAGATTAAACCAGAGAGGCTCAAGCCCACTGGAAATCCCCTGTTAGGATTCGATGGCAAGAGGGTGGAGCCCGTCGGAATGGTGGAAGTAGAAGTTCAAGCTGCAGAACGAACTCTTATGGAAACTTTTGTGGTTGTGGAGATTCACCCCTCGTACAATCTCCTGATGGGAAGAGGATGGATTCACAGAGTCCAAGGTGTACCCTCAACTTTGCATCAGGTCATGAGGTGCCTCGGACCCGATGGAAAGAAGGTGATAGACATTCGTGGGGATCAGGTTGCAGCCAAAGAGTGTTATTCCGTCACACTAAAGTATGCTGGGAAAGGGAAGGCGCCCGTCCGATCGGCAAGCCCCAGATAGCAATTACAGGAACCTCCGCCCAAGCAGAACAGGGTGGGGGAGTTAGTCGACTTGACCGAAGAGCCCCTTCTGGATGTGCAGATCGATCAGTCCAGGCCAGAGCGAACTACCAGAGTAGGAATAAGACTGACCAGGGAAGAGCAGCAAGAGCTAGTTGACTTCTTGTCTCACAATGCCAATGTATTTGCATGGAGTCACCTAGACATGCCTGGAATTAATCCCTCCGTATCCTGTCATTCTTTGAATGTCAATCCCAATTTCAAACCAGTAAAACAGAAGCAACGAAGATTTGCTCCAGAACGCAACCAAATCATAGCCGAGGAAGTTGATAGGCTGCTTGATGCGGGATTTATCAGAGAAGTACACTACCCTGATTGGTTGTCCAACGTCGTTGTCGTGCAGAAGAAGAATGGGAAATGGCGAGTATGCATTGATTTCACCAATTTGAACAAAGCCTGTCCGAAGGATAGCTTCCCGCTGCCAAAGATTGATCAAATGGTGGATGCCACCACCGGGTATGAGCGTTTAACCTTTCTGGACGCTTATTCAGGTTATAATCAGATCCCTATGGACCCGGCAGATGAAGAAAAAACTTCTTTTGTAACCGAGCGAGGGACATACTGCTACAAAGTTATGCCTTTCGGACTAAAGAACGCGGGAGCAACTTATCAAAGACTTGTTAGCAAAATTTTCAAGGATCAGATAGGAAAGATTGTGGAAGCCTATATTGATGATATGGTGGTAAAGAGTAGGAAGAAAGATGATCATCTGAAACATCTGCAAGATATATTTGATGTGCTGAGGCGATATGGGATGAGGCTCAATCCAACCAAGTGCTCGTTCGGTGTGAGTTCGGGTCAGTTTTTGGGACACGTGGTCAACCGCAGAGGCATCAAAGTTAGCCCCGCTCAAGCAGAGGCTTTGATTAAGAATGCCGAGCCAAAGACGATCAGAGAGG